GGAATTCCTTCCAACTTTTGGCCAAATGACCCAAGCTTTTCAACACTCGACTAAACCTCCATCTTAATCACAATTAAACTTCTCTGGCTTCCTTAGACCCTGCTAGCCACCTCCTTTGGCCTGGTCGGCCGGCCTAGTGGCCAAAAATCTCAAAACCGATAAACTCTCCCCATGGACCAAGCTTGCATTGAACCCATCCAATGTGTACATTCCAATTGGCTAATTGTGCTGCTCAGCTGTTGACCTCACTTTTGGTTGAGGTCTAGAATTGCTCAGCCCTCTACATAAACAACATTTTCCACACCTTGGTTTGCTCTGCTGGCCACCATGACCATGGCTATTTAAACCTCCCCTCTCATGGCCAAAGACAGAGTGCTTCAATTACTTAGGTAGATGATCCACCTCAAAATAACATATTTTTAGTACATATTTTATAAGCATTTTATGTATAAGCATTTTATGTATAAGCATTTTATGTACATTTTTTATGATATTACACTTTAAAGGAATGTATTTTGCATGTTTTTGAGTTTAGGTGCATTGAATGTACATTTAGAGAAAATGAGGAAAGATTAGATGAAAAATTATGATTTTCGTGTGGCGCTATAGCAACACAGTCTAGTTAGGAGGGTGCTATAGCGCTAGTAACTACCTTTTTAGAAGATATATCAAATTTGTCCAAATTTTGGAGGGGTGCTTGAAGCAACCCTTGGTTATTTTCTGTTTTCTATTTAATGAGAAGGATTTGGCCAAATTGACGGACTTTTTGGAGCCTCAAAACTTCAATTGGGCGGCAATAGTGAGTTATGTTTTTATATTTTGTATTCAAGTCTAAGTGTGAGTGTGTTTAGTGTGAAGAAGTTTGGAGATTAGTTGAAGGAAACTCCAGAAAATTGATGATAGGCATCAATCATAGAGTTTCCATTGGGAGTAGGGCTTGTAGAGACAACAACATTTTTCATAAAAGTACTACGAACATGCTTCCTAACAACTGGATCACAACTCATCTCTACCGCTGTCTGCAACAATAAAAATAAAATACAACAAAAATGAGATAGGAAAAAATAAACCTCACATGTATCAGTTTGTAAAGATTACACAAGTTTTGAGGGGCGGTCAAAATTCTTGATCATATATGTACGTAAGCCGGTGTAGGAAAAGAAAAAGTTTCAATACGAGATTAAATAACATATGTTTAACACCTTTGAGCACATCTTGTGTCGCCTCAAACATTGCACAAGTAAAATTTCTATCTATTTCCTCAGGAACTACTTTTTCATCTTATAACTCTTCCCACCTCTGCATACATGATATAAATTAACATATCATTCTTTGTTATGTATTTGGAAAAAAAACCAGTATAGCATACAAACCACTTTTTCCAATGAAAAATGCAACCCAAATTGTTCGGAACTCAAACTAAATTTGTTAGCAACCTCCCACAAACCAGCCTTGTAGCATATGTTGTACAAGGATTTTCTCTTCGGCCTTTTAAACTGTCCTTCTTCTAAATCAACTTCACTGGGAGGAAAATGCATGTTGAATTTTGCATTAACATCATCAACCTCTCTTTCAAAGTTTGCCTCCTTAAGAGCTTCAAAGATAGAATTTTGCATCAACAACATCAAACCAAGTCCAATTAAGCTCTAATCAAGCCATTAAAGCACTTTTAGAGGTTTTTTACCGTCGATTAAATGATTAAATGATCAAATGAACTCCATATTTGACATATTTATATTCAAATTGAGTGTCTTGATGAGAGAACTCAAATGAGCCTAAGATCATATAATTCCAAGGTCATTAAGGTCGCTAAATTATTAAAAATATTATATGATCCAAGGGGATCAATACATGTCATCTGATCAAGTGGCTAGGGAAGTTATTCACCAAAAGACTAAAATGAATTTACCTTAAAGGCTATAAATAAGCATACTATCTTCACTTGAGGGGTGAGGGGATGAGAAAAAAATTCATAGCCTATTTTGGATTAAAGACCCAATGATAAATTTTGGCCTTTGTAGCTGCTTACCACCATTGATCACCACCCATCGGCCTTCTTCAAGCACCATCAAACATTGTTGACCACCGTCTGCTGCCTCTGATCTCTATCTTTGGTGACCCTTGCTTACTAACATCATATACCAAATATGAACATAATATATAAAACATGTTAAAGATTCACCAATAACTTTTGACCTCTGTAGTCACCGTTGATCTCCTACCACCATCGACTGCCCAAATACGATTGTAACATATTTCATTTCCTAAATATGGTTGTAGCATATATCACTCATATTGAAGTTAACCATCGCGTCCATATCCAAATGTCACCACCTACCGCCACCGGTCATCACCACCCACCGCTGCTGATCAACGGTCTTTGACAGCCACAATGACTGTCATAGCCAAAGTAACACAGTTATACCTAACATAAGCATCTTTCTTTACGTTGTATACAAAAGAAAAATGTAGTGTCCACTATAAAACAAAAACCTCATGCTGAGATAATAGGTCAAGCCATCGACTATGACCGATGTAGTCACCTACTATTACAATTTTCAACTACAACCTCTATGGTCAACTAACGCTTTTGTCATCTTCAACTACGATCTCTGTGGCCACTTGACCTCATTTTTGCCCCCAACTACAACATATGTAGCCAACTAATACTATTATATCTTCTAATTATAGCCTAACTAACTAATCAATGATGTTTAAGTCTCTAACTACGGTCTCTATGGTCAATTAACATTATTTCTATCTCCAATATCACATTTATGGTCAACTAACGTTATTATTGTCATCAATTACGATCTCTATGACCAACTAACAATCTTACAGTCACCAATTAAGGCAACTACGGACAACTGATATTATTGCAATCTCCAAGTACGACATGTGTGACAAATTGATGCTATCGTCATCTTCAACTAAGACATCTGTGGCCAACCGACGCTATTGTCGTCTCTAACTACGACCTTTATTGTAGCCAACTAGCGATATTAATTACAATCACCAATCACGACTTATGTGGCTAATTGATGCTCTTACAATCACCAACATAGAGACCAACTAACACTATTTCCAACTAACAATATTACAGTCATCACTATGACTTTTGTGATAAGTTAACACTATTGTACTCAACAACTATAATTTATGTTATCAACTGAAGATATTGCAGTCAACAACTATGACATATGTGGTCGACAAATGATGTTGTAATTACCAATTATGACTTATGCAGCCAACGGATGATATTATAGTCACCAAATATAAAGTATGTTGCCAACTACTATTATTACAACTTCACAATTATATAATAGGTCGTTTTAATTATAACAATGTAAGATTCTAGTATTATTAATCCTTTAATCGTACCCTGAACTTTTTTATTATGATTCCAATGCTTAATTTAGACTCCGATCAAATCACTTTTGATGTCTTCTATAAATTTCGTGACATAAAGATTCAGATTGCCCTGAATTAAATTTTAATGATTTTTAATTATAAAATTAAATTGCGGCTTCTATTTGATCAAATTATTTTTTGTTCTATGTCATAACAATTTATAAGTCATTTTTCCAGAGTTAAAAAATTCTAAAATATTTAATCAAATTTATTTGTGTTCTTTTATTTATTTATTTTTTTTGTCTTTTGCAACCAATAACTTCATATGATTTTTCACAACTTCATGTTACAAATTAATGTTATAATTATTTTTTTGTTGTAATTTCTGTATATTCATAAATATTTATGAAAAAAAAAATGATAACTAAACAATTTTCGAAGTATTATTTCATGAAAATAAATTTAAAATTAATATTAAAACTGCATCAAAATATGCCTTCATTTAAATTTAAGTAAGACAAACAACTGATTAAGACTGTTTTGCATTATTGAAGGATCATTATATAATAAAAATAGCAGACGCTCCAAACCTCCCACGTATATTCATAAATCATAGTTGTCCAAAGTTATAAATCGAAGCTAAATTAGCCATATCGACAGCGCATCATCTGGGCTCGTCTTAGCATTACAGCATTAATTGTATCAAATTAATAATGTACCTGTCACATTTTAAAATTGCATGGGGCATTTATATACAACCCCTAATTGTCACCTCCCAAAAGAGCTTATGTGACGGACAAAATTAGAGAAAGTCATCTTAGATGATTTGATCACATTAAATGTCGACCATGTGATCATCCAATTTTGAGAGTAAATGTTTTAGATTCGACTTATGTTAAAAAAGACAGAGGTAGACCTAGGAAGACTTGGGCCTATTGTATTATTAGAACTAAATGAAAATATGACACTAAATGGAACACAATGGAGACAAAGGATTCATGCCTAACGTTGTGGGATTAAGGTTTTGTTGTTGTTGTTGTTGTTGTAGACTAAATCTCACAATCAGATAACTCATGTCAAGTCTTTTAATTATAGATTTTTATTTTAATTTTGAAGTATCTTGCTAAGATTAGAATTAAGCTAACATGGAGTCAGTAGATTTATCTCATTGGGATTCATGATTTGAGACAGTTTGAGCCTTAAATTAATGTTCTAAAATTTTTTGTTACACTTCAACTGCTTGATTTAGACTAATTCAAACTCAAATTGGATCAACTTTGTTGGTGTTGGGTTTATCGCATTGAGATGATCAACTTGACTATAAATTTGTTAAAAGCGAAGCTTGGATGATCACTTGACTATAACTTTAGCTACACTTCACTTAGTTCTTATGTATTTACATATCTAATGCCTAAAATTTGATATTTACATTTATAACACTGCTATTATAAAATTACGAAATTAAAATAATTTAAAGGTCTGATTTATAAATATTAATGTTTTGGCTAATTATCTCTAATATTTATTATGCAATATATTGTCACGCACTTTTTCACTATCATCACGCTTAAGTACGAAGCGCATCGCAATAATTTCGATCCAATCTAAGGGTATTCGTGTAATTTTGGAAAAGATCATTCGGGAAGGTTTACCACGTCAGCAAGTGCATCAGCTCCAGGCTCAATATCAACCCCCGGCTGTGCCCCAACAACGGGGAACCGCTCAACTAATATAGCGCCAGATGGCTCTCCGCCACCTCCTCTCCGCCGTCCTCCTCCTCTCCGCCACCCTCGCCACCGTCGAGGATGATAACGTGATCCGGCCAGTGACCGACCGGTTCGGGTCGTTTATTATAAGTTTTTTTCATGCAGTGCGTGTATTTATATCTACGTGCTTAAAACATTGAAATTTAGGTATCTAGCACCTAAAAATTTTAATTTTACCAAATTACCACGTAAAACTTTGTAATAAAACAAATCTGCCACGTCTGTTAACTACAAGTTAAAACAAGACGGAAACTTCACCGTAGGAGCATCCCTTAAGCCGCCGGCCCATTTCTCCCTCGTCGGAGTTCCTCTCGACTCGATGTCTTCTCGTGCAAGCAATTCTTTGGTGAGTTGAGATGGGCTGGCGGCTTAAGTGATGCATGCTCCTACGATGTGGTTACTGACTTCTTTTATTGTGCGGTTAATATAACGATGATGGTAGATTTGATTTATTAGAAAATTTTAGATAGTATTTCAGTAAAATTAAAGTTTTAGGGTATTAGAAACATAAATTTCAATATTTTAAGTGATAAGAAAATAATGATAAATAATTCAAGATTCCAACTACAACTTTTTGTTCGGACTTCTTCCATCTAGGGGTCATATCCATAAGTGCTATTTAGTATACGTTTTTTAGTTTGCTTTAAATTTTGATGATTTTAGATCACACACACTTTTGGGTGTCGTTACTATTTTCAATTTCGGTTGATTTTGAGGGTTTAAATGAAAAATTTAGAGTTTTTATGAAGTTTAGTATAAAACTCGGAAAAAATGTCAAGTTGTTAGAGCAATTGTTCAATATCATGGAAAAAATGTCAAGATTAAACTCTTTTTTTACAGAGTGAAGGTTGAACTAGAATAGGATGTGATATAGTAAGCTTGAACTTTTATAAGTCATCTTTGTGTTTGGAAGAATTGGATTTGACTATTAACTGATCAATTTTCTTGTCAACTTTAGTGAGATGATTGATAAATGCTTGCAAATAGTATTAGTAATGTTCACTTGTTTAATTTGATGATATTTATGAAATCTTTACTAGTGATAGTTTCTTGTAAACTTTTTCCAAAAATTGGATCTTTGAGTTGTCTTCCATTGGCAAGTTTGCATACTTGAATTGCTAATTCATTTACTTACTGATAAAACTTTTTGCATAAATATCATCTTGACATGTAAATCATGAAGGTTTATATGCTTAATATATTTCTTTTAGTATTTTGTTCCATGGTAAAGGATTTAATCACTTAGCACATTGTTCTCTAAAGGGTTTATGAAATAAAATTATGATGATTATTAACGAAAAAAGGTTTAAGAAATTACATTTCTATTAAAGAAACAATTCTATTTTATTTTAGTAAAAAGTTTCATACAGATGTAACTTTAGCATAAGGAATCTAAAGTAAAATATAGAGAGAGGTGACAAGATTGGAATATGATCATTGTTGATTGTGAAAGTCTAATGATTTAATGTTAGGAGAATTAATATATTTAATGTTCTTGACTGTGAAAGTCTAATTATTGAATGTTAGAAGGATTAATATAATCAATTATGAGGAATATGGTGCATGTCAAAGATATCTTTAAGGTATTAAGTACTTATGAATTTTTTTCTTAATTCTAGGTCAGATCTATAAATAATTGATGACACTTCATATATGCCCCACATTTTTAAATTGACTCTACTTAAATATCTTAATTTGCTAGCATTATATATATAAGTCTCTATCATAATTACTCTGTTAATCTCTATTTTAATACTATAACTACCACTAACCTTATGACAGGACTTATGGGCCCAATTTACAAATAATTAGTAAACTTTTCCATGTCTTTTTTTTTCTATCACTTCTCTTATTGATTTTTAGTTTCATGATTCTCATTTGAAGTTGTGGACAATCGATCGATAACTTGAGAAATTCCAAGCCTATGTGAAAAAAATTCCAAGCCTATGTGACAATATCCAGTGGTGAAATTTTTACAATTTATCCTAGAACACCATTTTGAATACCATAAAACAATCTAATGGACTCTTGCTATATTTTAAAATATGTTTAGGAGTGTTTTTAAGAATATAAACCACATTAATTAAGCTGTATAATATGAACTTAATTGTAATTTATCTTCTTTTAAGTGGCTATTGACCTGCTTTCAAAAGATGTGTTTGAGTTGGTCTGTGGTATCAAAAGATGATATGATCATATTTGTAAAATAAACATATATGTTACTTTTGAAAAGAATAATAATATTGTTTGATGATCAATTTTCACTTGGTGGTATAAATTTATATAATTAGATCTATTATTCATCTGATTATCATGTCTCATTAAGGTGACATAACTTTAATCATTAAGTGATTAAATTAATGAAGTGTTACATATATCTATGCAATGCAAAATATAATAGATATTTAGGGCAATAAAATTGACTATGCATCATTAATAGCGTTAGGCAACAAAAATTCCTTTGACAAAAAAGTGTGTCATTATTGAGCATGTACAACTGAGAGTAGATGATGCTCTAACTAGATGAGTAGAGAGAGAAAGAAATACAAAAAAAATTAAAAATAGTAGCATGGAGCATAGTTTACACAACTAGAAGATTATTTAAATGGCTCGTGTCAATTAAAACATCTCACGTATTACTCAGTAGATTGAAGTGAGAATAAATATTCAAAATATAAACCACAAATGATTGAGGTAGTGATGATGATCATATGAGTACACATTTACTATCCCCAACATAAAAGATTTTAAGATTATTTTTTTCAATTATTTTAGCTGAGGTAAAGAGCTATTGTTTTTGCTCCACAAAATAAAAATTTGCCTCCTGCTGCTACTTTGGGGGATAAAAGCTACAAACCATTTTTGTAGTCTTCAAGTTTATCTAACACAAAAAGTGAGTTAAGTATGCATAGCTCTTTATCCCAAGTAGGTCGAGGAATTTTCCATGCATCAAAGTTTCATTACAGAATGTCCTCCCTATTCAATATATTTAGTAAATTGGCATTTTCAATTCATTATACATCTTAATTCTTACTCAAATATAGAAGCCCTAATGAAGGCACAAGTAAATGGTACCAATTTTTAGTGATATCCAATCAAAATTGTTGTAATTTCTCCATAGATTACTTCTCTTTGCTAAGTTCTTACAACAAACACCCAAATGATTTTTGTTTCTGGTGAATTTCAATGTGAAGCTTATAATACCACTATAGGGCATTAGAGGTTGTTTATTCACAGCTGACTGGAAAGGAAATATCTCTATTATAACATTAACTTATAAGTTATGCTTCAACATACAATAACTTTGGATGCAATGGAGCCTTGCCTTCTCAAGCCTTTTAGTAAATTAAGCACAACGGAAGACTCCACTCCAAGGAGATATATATGTGGGCTCAAAAAATTTAACACCTCAGACTCCATTTTTTGTTTAATGTTGATAGATTTTGTGTTTATTTCAATTCAAATTTTCAAAATGCATATTATATTCTAGATAATACACTACCTAGAGATACTGCCCTTATTTCATGATTTTTTTTTTATTTGGGATTCAAGGTTTCCTATAGGCGCAAGCCCTTATGGTTAACTACCCCTCCCAAAAATGGGAGAGCGCTTTCGATTAAAGATAGTCATTAAACACTAAATATTTAACATATAATAACAATAGGCTTAGATTTTATGTTATATGACTTACCATCTTGAGCTTAAAATGAATGGTAAGGTTTTGGTCTATCCCCTTGGGTTTTGTTTTCGCACTGACACAAGGCTTTTGAATATCATGTGAAATTGATGGTTTTGGTAGCTCAAATAATCAAGCATGTCATCAGAAGTAGTAACCACTTAGAAAGGTAGAAATATAATTTTACGATGGGTTTGATTATTCAAACTAAGAAAACATTGAATATCTGCACTAGTCTGCGGTTTAAACCAAAAAGACCATTTCTTCTATCTAATCTGAAGACTAAATAGAGTTTATATTAGTTTTGGGGTACTCTTCTTCCTATAAGGGTAAGCCCCTATAGCTAGTTACATCTTAAGCAATCGAATTTACTTAAGAAAACACTCAATTAAGGTTATGGTTTTGTTCTCAAGAAATTTCTAAGTTTAAGCTTCCATGATTGAACATTGTATTTCCAAATGGGAAAGGCTCAAAAGTTGAACAGTTATTATCGGAAGCCAAAAAAGGAAAGGTTGGGGACACTCGAAGATACCAAGGCAACCTCAGTGGTATCTTGGACCATCCTGTTCTTTAGCACTTGATTTTTTTGACAAGAATATTAATTTTTTTCATCATGATTTTTTTTTCGAATGTTAAGATTTATACTGCACGACATACGATCATGTAGGAGCCTGAAGGTGAGAATTTACGTTGTTACTGGACAAACAACCTCAGAGTCCTAGGGTGAAGTTCACCAAAATAAGTAAAAATTTGAAACCCTAACCAAACAGAAGGAAAAACAAGAATGAAATGGACTTACAACCGTGCATGGAAAGGGTTGTCATATAAACCCCCCTATAGCATTGAAAACCATGCTTGACCGGTCTTGATGATGTAAGATAAGGTAGGTTGTTGTTTATTAGGAATAGTAGGTCTTACGAGTTATGTAGGAATGTATGATGTGTATAATATCTTAAGACTAATGTGAACATAATTTAAAATTTTAAATTTAAATGTTTTATGCCTCACAACACTCAAATGTTTTTAATTAGTGTTGAGCGCATCGAAGGTCCTTGATGAAGCAAGCTATGTAATGGATTATGCAAGTCCTTGATGATGAATGCATAAAAGGTCTGTTCAAAAGGCTAATCGGTGTGTATAGGCATAATTCACTCTATAAGATACTGGTTCTCACAGGTAAAACCACCCTTTCTGTGTAATGAGTGAGGGTTGGAAGAAAAAAAGTAGGAGAAATATGTTAAGTATATGTCTGCATATCATGTTATCATTCATATTCCTAAATAAAAAAGAAGTTTCTTCTCACTTTTATTGGGTGTCAATAGTGGTTATTTAGATGTATGATGTTTCTATGGTTTTGAATGCAGTGATTTATGTGATTTAGCTTTGGTTATGATTTTTAT